TGGCAAGCATGGGTTGCTGAAGACCTATTCTACCCCGGATCTTCACTGGTCTAAAGCCTAAATGAAGCAAGTCTAGATTTCCACTGGTTCTGAATCTCCATCTCAATGGGGCTCCTTTTTAATTTAAATGTAATTATTTGTTTCTTTCAAACATATATATATATTCAGAGATTATGAATGCCCAGAGACCTAAAAAACATCTGGCATGTCCTTTATGTATTTTATATTCTCACAAATACAAAACGCCATGATAAGTTTGTCCTAAGCTGTTGTCCATAAACATTTCACACTAGAAGTTGACATCACGTTGAAAGAAGACCCATGAAATTCAAATAGCTCCAGTCAAGGTGCTTTCAGCTATGGATACCCAAGAAAGATTTCCAAGTCAACAGGTGCTTGTCAGACATGTAACTAAGCCTCATCACCTTTCCAGTGTCACACTTGGGATAATCCCCCTCCTCGTCACCCGCTCACGCACCCAGGGTCACATGACTCAAGGACACAGAAGCTGCTCCCACCCCCTGGGGTACCTGGCAATCTGGGCTACCCACATTGTGTCCCCCCCCCCACACACACACACCTTAAACACACATGCTCTCTCTCTCTCTGTCTCTCTCTCTCTCTCTCTGTCTCTCTCTCTCTCTCTCTCTCTCTCTCTCTCTTTCTCTCTCTCTCTCTCTCTCTCTCTCTCTCATATGATAATTATCATCTTTCTACTTCATGTTAGGTCAACATGGTAAGCCAGTGCAAGCACCATTAAACCCTCAGATTGGTGGTGTTGTGTTAAGTAATGTGATGGGTAAACGCTGACAAATTGGTCAACGACTCCCACCTGTGTACTGTCATTATCAACTTGTCTTTGATGTATTCCTAAACAAAATGTCTTTAGTTCAGCGGGTAGAGAAGGTTGGAGGGTTCGATCCCCATCCAAGATCTTACTTGTTATTTCCTGCCTGTGTCTCAGTATTAAGGAGATACAACAAGGTCTCCACCCCTCAGCATCAAATTAGAACTGATCTTCAGCAACCCAGTTTTGTCGTGTGAGTCCGGTGCGGGGTAGCCTACCCATTTGCCATAAAGCCAAGAATTCAGGTTTAATTACAGACATGGGAACTATGTCAGGCCCATTTCTAGCGTAAACTGCCTTGATATTGCTGAAATAATGCTAAAAGTGGCGTAAAACAAACCTCGCTCACTCATAATAGGCCACTAACAGAAGTTAGCTGATTGGGTTGACACATGTCATTATTTCTTTGTATGTCCCAGATTTGATGCTGTAAGAATAAATAAATTTTATTATACCAATGGCTTTTCATTAGAAACAATCTTATACGGAACGTCTTCCACGGACCCACAAATTCAATCACATATCTTAAAATCAGTCCATCTATTTATAATTGAAACTAGGCGCTCTAACTGAGCAAGTCATACACTAAAACCTATAATTCTCAAAGCTATACTACTATGGATCCCGACTGCAGATGCCATGAATGTATACAACCATCATGATTTTAATTTTAAGTTTCCGACTACATGTCATACCATCTACTTTCATTTTAGATATCATCTTTTCTTGTCATGATACTGTTTCATATATCTATGTAAAGTGGAACTGTCTTCATATAAGTTCTTCTGAGCTTGTTGACGAATCCAGTGCATGAACATTCTGTCTTTGCTTTTTCAAATGTCATCGGTTCCCAAGTACGGAGACAAAATCATGCATGTTGATATATACGTGCAATGATCTGGAATGCGACATTTAACCCCATTTCACCTCAGCCCAGCCTGTGACATAACAGCTGACATATGAATAACTGATAACCAAATTATACCTATTCCTATATTAGCTATATGACTGATATATATTTGCAAATGAGATTGGACAGGTTTTCTTGATGCTGTTCTGTCAGATCATAGCTAAATATGATTTTTCTTGTAAAATATTGGTCATCTTTCTCTCATGTGTTAGACAAGCAAATATTTCACCAGTAGGACAAGTTGAAAGGCATTAGATATTTAAAATTGGTTTTAACTTTGAGAAATTAATAGCTTGGAAAAGACATTGGTCCATTTCCAGAGGAATGAAACAGCTGGGCCTTGTTCACAAATGTGATGTTAGTGCTACTTTGGTTAGATGCAGTAATATATACATATGCGATTATACTTATTGCTAAGATACTTTGTTAAACAGGCCCATGATGAAGCTGATGCTGATGTTGTTGTTGATGATGATGATGATGATGAAGAGTGAATTAGTGAGTTTAGTTTTATGCCGTCTGTTATTGATATATTCGTTTTTCTAGAAAGCTACAAACCGAACAGTCATTTCCTAAACCAATAGCTACCTGCCTATCAAACTGTTAAGCTTTTAAATGAATACTTTCGCGGTGATCGTGGCTTCATACAAATTCTATATCAGTGTCGAATCAATCAGGCTTTTCAAAGTGTCATTAATACTCTCGTGAATAGAACATTTGAATTCAATTGCTGTAATGGACTGCTGCATAGTTACATTTCCATGTTGAAACTGTCTGTTTCCGGCTTTGTATGTTGTTTAACGCGACACTCAGCAATATTCCAGATATACAACGGCGGTCTGTAAATAATCGAGTCTGGACCAGATAATCCAGTGATCAACAGCAAGAGCATTGATCTACGCAATTGGGATACGATGATATGTGTCAACCAAGTCAGCGAGCCTGACCACCCGATCCCATTAGTCACCTCTTATTACAAACATGGGTTACTGAAGGTCAATTTTAACCCGAATCTTCATGGGATGATGATGATGATGATGATGATGATGATGGTGGTGATGATAACCTTTGTGTGTCGATGATATGCTGCTCTCCACCCAGTGAACCATGACTAGTTTCTATCCTACATCCCTTCGGCAAAGAGTATGTCATTCAGGTCACATACAAGATGTGGTACAAGATAAATATATGTTCACCCCAGTGTGTCAGATGAAATCAGGTTTTGTGCTCAGGTTGTCACCGCTTTCTAATTCCCATGTTTAGGTTTATTACTAGTATACCTGATATATATCATAGTTAACTGCCAACAAATATTTCAGAAAATTGTGACAGAAACCAGAGCAGGTCAACAAAAACACTTGGTCAAATTTGTTTTTCCTTTTCACCAGCTATTCTTTTAAGAAATCACTTCTGAATTTTGAGTTTTATTATATTTTATTTTTATTCTGACCACAACCCTTTGGTTTTGCACTGAAAACAAATAAGAAAATTATTTTTTCGAAAACCAAATATAACGTTGTTATACAGTTTGTTTGGCAGATACAAGGAATCTAATTTGGCAATTCAGATAACCCACACAGGCGACCAACCATGAAAAAACTCACACAGGCGATCCTCCAGGGATAGCCCACATTGGCGACCAACCACAGAGGCTTCCCACACAGGCAACCCACTCACAGATAGTCTACACAGGCGACCCACCACAAACAGACCACACCGACAACCCGCCACAAACAGACCACAGGCAACTCACCACAAACAGATCACACAGGCGACTTACCACAAACAGACCACACAGGCAACCCACCACAAACAGACCACACTGGCGACCCTCCACAGACCACACAGGCGACCCACCACAAACAGACCACACTGACGACCCGTCACAAACAGACTACACTGACAACCCACCACAGATGCTTCCCACTGATCACCCCCCCGATATCCCACACAGGCAACCCACCACAGATACTTCCCACACTGATGACCCACCCCAGATATCCCACACAGGAGACCCACCACAGATGCTTCCCACTGATGACCCACCCCAGATATCCCACACAGGAGACCCACCACAGATGCTTCCCATTGATCACCCACCCCAGATATCCCACACAGGAGACCCACCACAGATGCTTCTCACACCGATCACCCAGATATCCCACACAGGAGACCCAACACAGATACTTCCCACACCGATGACCAACCCCAGATCTCCCACATAGGAGACCGACCACAGATGCTTCCCACACTGATGACCCACCCCAGATATCCCACACAGGTGACCCACCACAGACGCTTCCCACACTGATGACCCACCCCAGATATCCCACACAGGCGACCCACCACAGATGCTTCCCACACTGATGACCCACCCCAAATATCCCACACAGGAGACCCACCACAGATACTTCCCACACTGATGACCCACCCCAAATATCCCACACAGGAGACCCACCACAGATACTTCCCACACTGATGACCCACCCCAAATATCCCACACAGGAGACCCACCACAGATACTTCCCACACTGATCACCCAACCCAGATATCCCACACAGGTGACCCACCACAGATGCTTCCCACACCGATGACCTACCCCAGATATCAAACACAGGAGACTCACCACAGATGCTTCCCACTGATCACCCATCCCAGATATCCCACACAGGAGACCCAACACAGATACTTCCCACACCGATGACCAACCCCAGATCTCCCACATAGGAGACCCACCACAGATGCTTCCCACACCGATGACCCACCCCAGATATCCCACACAGGTGACCCACCACAGACGCTTCCCACACTGATGACCCACCCCAGATATCCCACACAGGTGACCCACCACAGACGCTTCCCACACTGATCACCCACCCCAGATATCCCACACAGGAGACCCACCACAGATGCTTCCCACACCGATGACCCACCCCAGATATCCCACACAGGAGACCCACCACAGATGCTTCCCACTGATCACCCACCCCAGATATCCCACACAGGAGACCCACCACAGATGCTTCCCACACTGATCACCCACCCCAGATATCCCACACAGGAGACCCACCACAGATGCTTCCCACACCGATGACCCACCCCAGATATCCCACACAGGATACCCACCACAGATGCTTCCCACACTGATCACCCACCCCAGATATCCCACACAGGAGACCCACCACAGATGCTTCCCACACTGATCACCCACCCCAGATATCCCACACAGGAGACCCACCACAGATGCTTCCCCACACTGATGACCCACCCCAAATATCCCACACAGGAGACCCACCACAGATGCTTCCCACACTGATCACCCACCCCAGATATCCCACACAGGTGACCCACCACAGATGCTTCCTCACACCGATGACTCCACCCCAGATATCCACACAGGGAGACTCACCACAGATGCTTCCCACTGATCACCCATCCCAGATATCCCACACAGGAGACCCACCACAGATGCTTCCCACACCCGATGACCCACCCCAGATATCCCCCACAGGAGACCCACCACAGATGCTTCCCACACCGATGACCCACCCCAGATATCCCACACAGGAGACCCACCACAGATGCTTCCCCACACTGATGACCCACCCCAGATATCCCACACAGGGTGACCCACCACAGATGCTTCCACACTGATCACCCACCCCAGATATCCCACACAGGGAGACCCACCACAGATGCTTCCCACACCCGATCACCCACCCCAGATATCCCACACAGGAGACCCACCACAGATGCTTCCCACTGATCACCCACCCCAGATATCCCACACAGGTGACCCACCACAGATGCTTCCCACACTGATCACCCACCCCCGATATCCCACACAGGAGACCCACCACAGATGCTTCCACACCACCCACCCCAGATATCCACACAGGACCCACCACAGATGCTTCCCATGGATCCACCCACCCCAGATATCCCACACAGGAGACCCACCACAGATGCTTCCCACTGATCACCCACCCCAGATATCCCACACAGGTGACCCACCACAGATGCTTCCCACACTGATCACCCACCCCAGATATCCCACACAGGAGACCCACCACAGATGCTTCCACACACTGATCACCCACCCCAGATATCCCACACAGGAGACCCACCACAGATGCTTCCACACACTGATCACCCACCCCAGATATCCCACACAGGCTGACCCACCACAGATGCTTCCCACACTGATGACCCACCCCAGATATCCCACACAGGAGACCCACCACAGATGCTTCCCACTGATCACCCACCCCAGATATCCCACACAGGAGACCCACCACAGATGCTTCCCACACTGATCACCCACCCCAGATATCCCACACAGGAGACCCACCACAGATGCTTCCCACACACTGATCACCCACCCCAGATATCCCACACAGGAGACCCACCACAGATGCTTCCCACACCCGATCACCCACCCCAGATATCCCACACAGGAGACCCACCACAGATGCTTCCCACTGATCACCCACCCCAGATATCCCACACAGGAGACCCACCACAGATACTTCCCCACACTGATCACCCACCCCAGATATCCCACACAGGAGACCCACCACAGATGCTTCCCACACGATGACCCACACCCCAGATATCCGATGCTTCCCACTGATCACCCACCCCAGATATCCCACACAGGAGACCCACACCCAGATACTTCCAACACCGATGACCAACCCCAGATATCCCACATAGGAGACTCCACCACAGATGCTTCCCACACCGATGACTCCACCCCAGATATCCCACACAGGAGACCCACCACAGATACTTCCCACACTGATCACCCACCCCAGATATCCCACACAGGAGACCCACCACAGGACGCTTCCCCCACCACAGATGCTTCCCACTGATGACCCACCCAGATATCCCACACAGGAGGCTTCCACTGATCACCCACCCAGATATCCCACACAGGCTGACCCACCACAGATGCTTCCCACACTGATCACCCACCCCAGATATCCCACACAGGAGACCCACCACAGATGCTTCCCACTGATCACCCACCCCAGATATCCCACACAGGAGACCCACCACAGATGCTTCCCACACCGATGACCCACCCCAGATATCCCACACAGGATACCCACCACAGATGCTTCCCACTGATCACCCACCCAGATATCCCACACAAGCAACCCACCACAGATACTTCCCACACTGATGACCTACCCCAGATATCCCACACAGGAGACCCACCACAGATGCTTCCCACACTGATGACCCACCCCAAATATCCCACACAGGAGACCCACCACAGATGCTTCCCACACCGATGACCCACCCCAGATATCAAACACAGGAGACTCACCACAGATGCTTCCCACTGATCACCCATCCCAGATATCCCACACAGGAGACCCACCACAGATGCTTCCCACTGATCACCCACCCCAGATATCCCACACAGGAGACCCACCACAGATGCTTCCCATTGATCACCCACCCCAGATATCCCACACAGGAGACCCACCACAGATGCTTCTCACACCGATCACCCACCCCAGATATCCCACACAGGAGACCCACCACAGGTGCTTCCAACCGATCACCCACCCCAGATATCCCACACAGGTGACCGACCACAGATGCTTCCCACACTGATCACCCACCCCAAATATCCCACACAGGAGACCCACCACAGATGCTTCCCACACCGATGACCCACCAGACAGCCCATACAAGCGACCCACCACAGATGCTTCCCACACTGATGACCCACCAGACAGCCCACACAGGGCTATCAATTTCATAACCAAAATAACTCCACACAAAACCAAGCATCAGGGACTAATAAGCCCAACAAAGGACAGTATTCACAGAAAGTGAAATGTTATTTGATATCTTGTACATCAACAAACAATGCATGCCTAAGACAACGTTCAGGATGTAATGGTGACGGCTGGCGATGGTTGGTGACAATGTTATGGATATTGCTGAGCGACACTGTCAGTTACAGGAGCCTATGGAACAGCGGTATCACATGTTCTTGTCCTCATGTCTGTAGACTGACGTCCCTGAAATATATACTGAGAGAAACAAATAAAGGAACACAGGAAAATTCAAGTGTTCCTCAAACATTTTCCAGTTTTCATCACCAGCTTTAAATAGCGCTTTGGGAAGAAATCTGAAAATAGATAAAGGAACACTGCCATGTTCACTCAGTGTAGTTAATAATATGAGCTATAATAATTCTATACAGGATCCCTCAGGTTTGGAAGAACCTTTTCCAAGTTTCCGTTCTGGAAAAGGGATTGAGTATTGGCTGCTGGGAGAATGGAAGGGGTAATTTGATTTATTAGAGACATGCTCTGGGGATAGGAAGCATCTACTCAGGTGGTCAGACTCTGGGACTGACTGCATGTCCTTGTCCTGTTGTCATGGGATGGGATGTAACTGGTTTCTGTGCCTAGGACTGAATACCGGTATTTACTGGCCATCTGGACATGGGTGGAATATTGCCGACTGCAGCATTAAACAACTGCAAACAAATCTGGGTTGAATCCCCCTGAATTATAGTTAAAGGTGGGTCAGGTGAAATTGGGTTTTACGTCGTGTTTGAGAATATTTCGCTCATATGACGACTTGCATGCGTGTGTATGTGTATGTGCGGCTGCTTGTACCAGCCCAGACTGAAGCTGGTTTTATAGTGTTAGCCCACTGAGATACCATGCCGCAGTGAAGCATGAATACCCCACTCAGACACATTATACTGACTCCGAGCCGACCATTCCTTGTTGTACCCATTAATGCCGAGCGCCAGGCAGGGACCAACAAGGACCATATTTCAACATCTTTTGGTATGACGCAGTTGGGGATCGAACCCGCGACCTTCCGCTCTCTGGGCAGACGCTCTAACCACTACACCATGGAGGCGGTTGAATTATAGTTAAAGATAATACCTCTAATAATTCTGTACAGGATCCCTCAGGTTTGAAAGAACCTTTTCCAAGTTTCTGTACCAGAAAAGGGGATGAGAATTTTCTGCTGGGAGAATGGAAGGGGTAATTTGATTTATTAGAGACATGCTCTGGGGATAAGAATCAGGTGGTCAAGTTTTGTGACTGACAGGCGGTGGGATAGCCTAGTGGTTAATCGTTCCGCTCGTCACACTGAAGACCTGGGTTTGATTTCCCACATGGTTACAATGTGTGAAGCTCATTTCTGGTATCACCCTGCCATTATGTTGCTGGAATTTTTCTGAAAGGGGCGTAAAGATAAACTCACTCACTCTGTGACTGACAGCACTTCTTTGTACTGAGGTCATGGGACAGGCTGATTCTGTCAGTAACTAGTTTCCGTGGCTAGGATTGAATATTTACAAGCCGCCTCGACACAGATGAAATATTGCTAACAGCAGCGTAAACAACTGCAAATAAATCCATGCTTAATCTCTTTTAATTCAGCACATGGTGGTAAAGTTGGCATGATGTGTCCATCTGTCCATCCTTTGTTTTTGATCTTGTCAGTCGAGTATCATGTCTCACTTTCAGTTTGAAAAAATGCTTTCAATGTCTGATTTCTCTTATATTCCCAAGATGTGATCAAGCTGGAATATTGCGAAAATCTCCAGCTTCCGCTTTCACCGGACAATTCTGTAAATAGTAATCCATTTTGTGAAATGAGCAAAATAGCTGTGAAATTGTTTTTGGAATGTAGCACTGAAAATAAGTGTAGACACCAGGTGTTCACAGGAAGGGTAAGCATGCTAGTCATTTATATCTGGTGTCAAACTCATTTTCCAGCAATTATCACAGTAATTATCCCAGCAATTATCACAGTAATTATCACTGAGAAATGCAACCTTTAGCTATTTTCATGTAACTTACTGACATCTGGGGACCCGTGAAGGCCCGGGTTAGAATGAACCTTCAGTAACCCATGCTTGTCGTAAGAGGCGACTAACGGGATCGGGTGGTCAGGCTCGCTGACTTGGTTGACACATGTCATCGGTTCCCAATTGCGTAGATTGATGGTGCTCATGCTGTTGATCACTGGATTGTCTGGTCCAGACTCAATTATTTATAGACCGCCACCATATAGCTGGAATATTGCTGAGTGCGGCGTAAAACTAAACTAACTCACTCACTCACTCACATCTGGGTTTGGTTTCAAAGAGGACCGAAACAACTTATTTCTTCACTAAATTTTGTGTGAAATGTAGTCATCAGTTTTATATGTGTGACAATGTCATGATAATGTCGTAATAATCAGAAGTTGTTGAACATCATCTTATCAGATTTCAGGTCACAGACCTTAACAGTGCTGGTAGTAAATACATGGTTGGGTCCCACAGTCAGTGATCTTCATGCTAAGGTTGTTCTGATTTAAAGGAACATTATCTTGATCATCCCCGAAGCATTGTTGGTAAACTAAACAATATCTGATAACCTCCAAGCTTACCTGGCTGTGTCTGCCTTATTCCATGAGAGAAGTTTCTGCACGGGTGACCAGATTGTGGATGTAAGCTTATCATGTGACTGGACTTTTCTCTTGCTTTTGTGAACAATGCACTTATCCTGGAAAAAGAGAAATATTCAGCTGAGTGTTAGATTTTTTGTTTGTTTAAAGAAATGTATCACTAGCTCCAGATGGGGCTTTGATGTCAGGACATGGAGCTGTGCAAC